CCATGAGTGACGCCTTAAGTGAAGCGAATTTTGATGTCGCTCAGCCTCATTTTTATTCTTGAAGCGGTTTGGACAATATTGACATTGATATTGCTTCTCGAGTTCATGAACACTGTTGGTTTTAGCATAGCCCTCATCAATACCGAGGTGTAAAATTACTTACCGTAATTCCTCTGGAGTGTCAAACTTTTTCGGCTTCTTGGGACAACACTCGCACACGAGAAAGCCTTGAACTTTGGACACACTATTTTGGCGTGAGTGAGCTTGACTTTCCGTAGGTGTTGGCATTTTGCTGTCTTGCGTTTGCTCCGATTGTTTTCGGTGGTGGGGGGTTTTGGTCAAGGAATTGCGCGGGCTGCGGTTGATGTTTTTGCTAGCTGCATATGGTGAAACCAGCCCAAACTCTGTCTCTGCAGATGGTGAGAGCGCACCAGGCGATAACCGCTGTTCGCCGCCGTAACTTGTCGCACTACTACCAATGGATAAATTCCAACCCTGAGTGGATGCGAAAGATGAACCTTTAGGTCCAAGTGACGCCGTTGAGGAAAGCGAGCCAAGGTTAGCGCTTGGGCGCGTGACCGGAGAATTCCGATTCGCCCCAAGATACTGGATCGAACGGCGATGATAAAGATCATTGCCGCCACCAGATGCACGATCTTCTCTCGCACCGTCTGATGGCGGTGAAGAAGCTCGTCGCTTTTGACCTTTCAGTCTGTACTGATCTGCGTCGCCCGCAGATGGGCTGCGATCGTGAATATTCAGCTCCTTTAAGCCATTTTCCTCCATATTCGCAAACTCGGGGTCTAAAAAGACATTGTGGTCGTCGCTATTTCGGTGCGAACGGTACCCAGCTGAGGGTCCATCGAAAACGTCCGTCGTGGACGCGGCGTGAAATCGTTGAGGGAAGGTGCCATCTACGTTGTTCTGCTCGAAAAGGGGACTGCGAAAGCCAGCACTAGGTGAGAGACCCGAGGAAGGAGCGCTCTGCCAGCGTGTGAGGGGAGAGTCGAGGGAAGGATAGCGATGGTCAGGAACGGATAACGGCTTCAATTGGCCAGCGAATTTATGGTTGGCGCGCTGGTTTGGAGACTCGCCTGTTGGTGTTGTAAGATATGGTGTTCCTCGTCCAGCATTTGGACCTCCAATTTTGGAGAGCAGTTGCTGGTCGTAAGCTTGTGCGGATGCATGAAGAGTTTTCTGTCCTAGTTGACGCTCGCTTTGCGATCTGTAATTAATTCATGTTAGCTTGTGATGGCAAGCAGCTTGTACAATGATCATTGCACTGAGAGGGCAGAACCCGCCAACAAGGCAACCGCAAACATTATGCTCCCCATCACAAACTGAACTTTAATGGGACCTTCACCATTGCGCCAGCAGTATTCGCTCTACGAATGTGAAGCTCTATACCACCACAACTGTCGCCGCAGCGGTAACAAAGTTGCGTCCCCAAATTAGAGAAACACGTACCTAAAGTTAGACATAGCAACAGGTCTTGGAAGGCTATGTCGGTCTTCGTCACTATGATCCAGAATTTCGGAGCCCTGCATCTCTGGGTCGATGGGCGTGGATAGCGACATTGTGCTACCTCTTCGAGAATCTCGGTAGTCATAATGGTCGGCTGGTTGGCCATACTCCTGATCCCCTACGCCACCTAGAAGACTTGAACCGGCCTTGACCGATGCATACTGGCCACTGGAGGGCGATTCGTGCTGCATCCCATTGCCATATTTCCAGCCAGGGTCTTGTCCATGGTAGAGCCCATCGATGTGACGTGGTGGCGGTAATGGTGGCGGCGGAGCCTCACGGGCGCGCGGTATTGCCATTGGCTTGGGATTGTGTATGGACCTTGAATGGGGGTGATGTTGTTGTTGCGGGGCGGCGGAGGTTTGGTTAGTATTTGTGTTGTGCGGGCGGGAGCCATATTGCGGAACGGAAGACCCAGGGAATACTCGAATGGCGGGCGCGGAACTGGTGTGCGACATGTCGTTGGCTGCGCTGACGATGTTGTGGATTGCCACCAGCTGGGGATGAGGCAGTTGCAATTGTGTACCTTTGGCTCTGCGTGGCGACCGGTGAAAATCGAGGTACCTAAGAGTAACTAAAGGATCTGCTGTGCAGCTAGCTAGAGCACCTGAGCGCGACTAGTACGGCGCAAGGGGAGCCTCGAGCAGGTTTGGATATCTGATCCTCGACCTTTTGCGGATGTGCACGATGCACTGCAAACTTGAGGCGTGCGAGCGGTGAAGAGGCTCGGGAGTTGAGGCGCAGAATTAGGCCAAAGAAAGCAAGCAATTGCAGCAACAACTAGGATTATAGGGCAGAGGAGGATGGATTAAGGCGAGTGGTTCTCTCTTGGTCTGTAGCTCTTTTGCATGGATGCATCAGTATCAGACGACGAGGGACAGAGCATGGAGCCTTGGATCCTCTGCTGGGGAATAACTGGAGGAAAATTCATACCAAGTACACAAGCCCAGCAAGGCTTAGAACACGAGATAAATTAAGCGGAGCTTGAATTCTAAAGGAGCTACTCAAGGCAGGCACGAACGGTCAATCGCTCAAGTGAAGCAGGTTGCAGCGTTAGTGGTGAACGACCTTCTCAGCACTGAGATGCGTCCGACCCCGAATCCTCAGCCGAATCTGAATCTAATTGAAGGCCGCGTGGGATGCAGCCAAGCGACCTGAAGAGACAGGGATCTCGTCGAGTCGGTGGACTCGACGTAATTAAACAAGCACACCAGGAGACTCGATGGCAAAAGAAGGGCCAGTTGGATTATTACAATATCACCAAGACGCAGAAGTGGGAGTACAGGCTCTGATAGGCAAGGTATATCAATGTTATCGAATGGCAAACAGGGCAACGCTCCAAGACCCCGCAAGCCCCAACAAGAGTGATCCCGGCTGTCGGGGTGGCAGGTCTCAGCCAGGGCTTAAGGCTGGTGTGGTGACCGGATTTTTATCTCAGTAGTATAGGGGACTTCGAGGGCCAACGGTCTTCCAGACGCTCGTCACAGATGCAGCCATCCTAAATCACAGCGAGCTTAGGGTTCCACAATCGCCTTTCCACTTCATGGTCACTGTCTGTGCAGGTGATATTATTAACGGGTTCACCAGATGCACAATTGTTCTCCTCCACTTCACCTTTTCCCTCTAAGAACTGCAACCGAAAGTGACATTGCAGGTGACGGGAATTCCATTACCTCATAGCCGGCCAGGCCCTATCTAACACTAGCCCACTACCAGTTGCAAAAGCCGATCTCTAGGTACTCTTTACCACGATGGACGCGCGCGTCTACTCCTGACAGCTTTTCACGAGGGTGCTTTATTAGTGGTCAGCAGCAGTGAGAATCTTGCAATCCACGTACAAATCTAAAGATCATGTTGCAAATATACATCAGCTTCCGTGCGTTGCAAACACGAATGGTACAGCACTCAGCCTTGACTACTGAATTGAACTTTCAGCCCTACAAGAATTTCCGGCCCGCCCACAAGCTAGCTTCAGGGTCATCTTAGCTCTTCCTAGTTTGATGTATCCACAAGCCTCGGCCTGCCATTGGCCCTCGCCTAAGGTATCGCAAGCCGAGTCAGGTCTTACTGCAGGTGAATTGCACAATGTGGTTGCAGATGAGGATGACGAATCCTTACGGTAGCGAAGAACAAGAGCTCTAGAAGTGATAGCTCGTGTCGATGTATGATTTTGCAGTCAAGCACAACTGTGCGGTTAGTACGAAGACTTCGGCCATTACACTTCCTATTCAAACGCTAGCACGCAAGGATATCAGGTTAACGCTTGGGCGATACTCCTCGTGACACGGTGACAGTGTGCCTGCCCTACGACCCTACCCGCCTGCTTGGTACTTTTGATTGCACGAGCGCACATCTCTGCCAAACCCAGACTAAAAGACTCTGCTCGGCCCTACGCTAAGGATGAAAATTGTGATACAAACCTTCAAGTGAAGGATGATATGCCTAAAGAATATTCAAGTACCAGGATTCTCCGCGTTCGCTCGGCGTACTCGTATCCACAAGCTTAACAAATTGAGCAACTGTAGCTCGTTGTTTGTGCTCAGTAAAACGCAGCCCTCCGGGAAATAAAATGATAGCTCTGAAATGGGACTAGAAAGTCATTGGGAGCTCGTGTTCTCAAGTGGTGGTACGAATAGCTTGCCACGCATTGGACCAACTTTGTGATGAGGTCCAGTAGCGGATAAATGTTGGAGGTGTTAAAGCCTCGCGTGGCCTCGAGCATTTTATCTGATGAGATGACAGGTCTTAAAATAGCGGATAACAATTAAGTGAAACCTACTCTCATATAAGGCTTTTTCCGGATTTGATCTTGATTAAAGTAGAGAACGAGTAAAGAGTAAAGAGTCAATATAGTATTTAGAGATTTGTAGATTCTTATTACTAGACAGCGTACAAATCTCTTAGAAGCGATTCTTCTTCTTACTTTCTAAAACTATTTCTTATTATGCTCCCCGGACTAAATGACGGCAAGAGCCTCAGGACGAAGTAGTGCAACCAAGGAGTCCACAATTTCTGTTGAATCATGTTTTTCAAACAGAGCAGCATATCTGTCTACGTGCTCCGTTTTTACCACTTGCAACAAGTATTCCAGAATAATATCCCGAGGCTCAGTTCTCTCATAAGCAGTAGAATGACGACCTCTATCTTGGTTCTGTTTATCTCCAAGCCAATCTTGCACTGCCTTTGTCAAGTACCGGTTCTTGCTACAATCCATGTCGGCAAGCTGGCATTTGAACTCGTAAGAACAGAATTTGCTGAACAAAGTTCCTACATGGTAAGGTGTAATGATTCAGAATTGTAGGTCTAAGCGCACGCCAATTGCATGCTGTTTTCAGGATAAATCAAAGGGTGCATGGGCCCTCAATTTATAAAGAGGCCTTTTAGCATGGATTCCTCTTCCTTTTATCGTTTTCCTACTTGTCTGATATGCTGCACGGGATCTATTCAATTGTTCGGTAATTGTGGTTTACAAAAACGGAGTAGTAGCTCAGTGGTAGAGCGTGGGATTGCAGTTATATTTAGACCATCCTAAGGTAATTAATACTACTCAAAATATATCAGATTAAGGTTAATTATTGTATAGGCCATGTGTTCGACCCACATTTACTCCTTTCCCTTTTACCATTTTTCCTTTCACTACTTGTCCTATTTTTACATCTTCTTCTTTTATTATATCTTTTATATCTTCTTTTACAAGACTTAAGTTTAGTATATAGTTTCTACTTAGTATAAAGAAAGACCTATAGTACCTAACAAGCGTTACGTTATATTTTACTACTTAAATATAGCTTCTATAGTAAATGCACGCTGCCGTGAAGCCTTCTAATATCTTGACCTTCAAACCCGGCTAGCCAAGCCGCCTCTACAAATTCTTTGACAAACTGGATAAACTGATTCGACGGTGACTTGCCCGAGGTCCCCACACTAAAAACTTGAGGCAACGCAATTATTTTAGGCGGGTGGGCGAACGCTTAGGTCCGCAAACACATCAAGTCTCGACCAGATCGGTGGTCATACGACAACGTCAACAACTCAACAACGTCCATACCAATCCCGCAGCACGAAAGAAGAATGTCGTTGATTGACAAAGTCCCTGGTGACCTTAATCTCTACATAGGCGGGTGAGCAAGTTCTTGCCAAATGTTTCCTGTTCCGGTTAGCCGAATAGCTAATTACTTTCCACCCCACAGAATCTTCACGTTACGGCGGAAGGATGCATTAAAAGCGTGCAATATAACACATGTGCTTTCAGTACTCCGACTACCCGTCGATAGGGAGCTTTTCAGCTCGTTCAAGCATTTGATGGTGGAGGTTGACGATGTGGAGGATGAAAATTTACTTCAATATTTCACTACCACAAATGGTTTCATACAAGAGGGCCTAGATGGCGGTGGTGGAGTTCTGGTTCACTGGTACGCGTAATCTTTCCTTCATCTCACTTCTATTCCTTACTTCCTTGAGCTTTTCTTGGCGCGCCTTAAGTCTTTCGCTCCCTGCAATTCTCTCGCGCTGTGTCACTCGGCTCTCGTGGTCCAGGACAGCCTTTTGTCTTGGCGATGCCGCCTTGTCGATGCTTCCCACATTGCAAGCACCTGCCAAGGAAGGGCAGTATGCAGTTGTGAAAATTTTGTACATGATCATGTTTCACATTCCGTCAATTCCGTTATTGCAGTTCTGCGTTGTCATTCGTCAAACCATATTACCCTTTTGGGCATGCAAATCGTCCGTCTGACAGCGAATAAATGGTTGACAAAATTATTTTAGTGCCATGGGCAAGTCCCGATCCGCAACATGCGTTATAGCATACTTGATGAACAACTACGGCATCACACCACAACAAGCTCTAGAACAATTACGGCAGAGCAGACCGCTTGTGGAACCCAACGATGGGTTTATGCAACAGCTGGAGATGTATTATCGGATGCGAACGCTCATTAACGTAGAAGAGTCACCCCTCTATCAAAGATGGATGTATCAGCGAGAAGTGCAACTGAGTAGCGATTGCGGTCAAGCTCCAGATGCTGATAAGATCCGCTTTGAGGATGAGCATATCAACAAGGACGATAATGTAGATGGTGACTCGGAGTTGAAGTGTAAGAAGTGCAGGTACGTTTCTGTTTCACTCTCCTTTGGCATGTAACAGCATATTTATCACAGCCTGAACAGGCGAGTTCTTGCAACGACACAATTTTTGATACCGCATCAACCACCACCCCACAACAGCCCATTCCCGACAACACTTACATGCGCACACCACTATCTCGACCCACTGTCATGGATGCGGCCCGAACTCGAGCAAGGTAAAGTTGAGGGCCGACTCGAATGTCCAAAGTGTAAGACTAGTGTCGGCAGGTACGCATGGCAGGGCATGAGATGTAGTTGCGGAGCGTGGGTAGTTCCAGCCATTACGTTGGCGCGGGGAAAGGTTGATGAGGTTAGACTGCGTCAAGATGCTGCTACTGCAGCTGGTAAAGTGAGAAGAGGGCCGGGACTGTCGATGCCTGTGACGAGTGCACAGGGGAGGGGTTTGCTGTAATAGTAGATGTGAGGGTGTTGTAGATAAGTAATCCCGAAAAGTGGATCCAATCTTTGACAAGCATGTCTATCATCCCACGGAAGCTGTTTGCAGATCTTTCTACCAAAACATCTCACCCTCGGAAGATCCGATCTTTCGAAGGATTATTGGGACCACCCATCCTTGGACTTACAAGACCAGTGAGGAATCCACAGAACCGGAGGGCTTTCCTAATTGTATTCCCACGAGTAGATGAAAAGGACGAAGTGATTCACGACTAACAGGGCGACTGCTTGAACATGTCAGAACCTTAAAAATCCTAGAGATTTTGTTTCCTTGGACCAATAAATATAGCCTACCCTTTCCAGCCCATCTTATTTTCGCCAAGTATAATTGTCACGCCATCATCATGTTCTCGTTCTCGTTCTCTGTCGAATACAATACTTTATGCTCGATCGTGTGAATGCTGCATGCTGACTGCATTATTGTTACCCTTCAACAATTCTCAAATGCAACATCAACAAGCAATCTCCAAGCCCGTCACTAATGGAATACTCGCATCAGAAGGTGCACCTTTTTACAAAATACTGAAAGGGCGTATACAACCAATAAGCATCGTAATCGTTACATATTCGTATCTCATCATACTCTGCTCGCCATAGGATTACGCCAATGGTAAGCAGGTGGCGGATGTGGCGGGATGATCCTATGGATCGCCCTTTGGTGCTGACGGGAACGCTGTGGGGTTCTTGAGGCGTTCACGATTACGCTTAGCTACTTCTGCATTTCGTATCCGATCTAGACGCTGTTGATAGAAGATCCTTTTGCTCAAAAATTAGCGGTTGTGCTTTTGGGCAAAGGGTTGAGGTTTCGGAGGAGTGTCCGGACAGAGCGTTTTCCCTTTTGGGTTGAAGCCCTGCCCAGTAATGGTCTGACAATGGAGATGGATCAAAGTGAATAACTAGATAGGATCTGAACGTGGAGCTCGAAGCGAAGGGAAGATGAAGTAGCAGAATTTAGCACATACTTCTGCAAACTGAATATCCTTGGACCATCATCTGACATAACATCCTCCTTGCTACTCAAAGCTTCTATCTGCGAAGGCACATCATTAGCAAGATAAATCACACTCCATCCCCACGGTACTCAACGCAAAAACATACCTTCGCATCCTTCTCCTCCTCATCCTTCTTCTCCTCATCTTCATCCTTCTTCTCCTCCTTCTTCTCCTCATCTTTACTACCCTTCCCCTCCTTCTTCTTCTTTTCTTTCCTGTTCTCAGCTCTCTTCCTCATCTTTTCATCGTACTCTTTCTTCACAGCTTCAATCTCCTTATCTAATTCTACTTTTTTCTCTCTAGCTGCAGCAGCAGCAGCCTCATCCGCATCTGGAATGGCGAAACCACGGTCTTTCAGGTGACCAGTACATATGTAGAAGAAGTCCTTGGAAAACAATTTGAGTGAAAGATTGAGGGACAAGGGATTGCGAAAACTTGTACCTTATTATCTGGTGTTATTAGCACACTTGATGAGGGTTTGAAGCATATCCAGCATGCTTTCGCAGCGTTGTCAGCCACTTTTCTATGGTGCCATATGTTCGGCAGCGCAGCATTTGATGCCATATTCGAACCGTAATGATTAGGAAAATTTACATTATTTTGTTGTTTATTGTCAAAGAGAAATGTTCAAATGAGACGGGATAAGGACAAAAGCAAGCCACACACGTGACGGATTCCTTAAATCCACCCCACGTCCCTTCTGTCCATCAGAAATCAGCACACTTGAGAAGTTTTCACAATATCTTGCATAATACATTCCATTTTATGTACTCGTTACTCCTGTTATGGACCATCATGTGCTTCAATCCACCCGGACGCCTTCGCTGCCTCCTTCGCCATACCGATCGGATATAAGAGTACTGGAAAATACCCTTACGACACCCTTTCCCAGGTCGAGCATCTCAAATCTCAAAGAAAGAACCATCATACTCCAGGAAAGCAAAAACAAGAATCTAAACTACAAGGGGTATACGCTAGTTCGTCCTAAAGCAAATCCTTTCATACTGAATGAACCATCCCACCATAAAAGCGAAGAATCCACCTGCAGAACTCCCCTTCCTTTCCTTTTCCCCAACTCCAATTACCTCACTCATAAATGCACTGCCTATACTCCTCAGCAGAAAACTTAGCCCTCACCGTCTCATCGAAAGAATCCGTCCTCTCAATAACCTCCACAAGATAAACAGACTGACTGGAAACAGCACGTCCCTGCTCCTAATAAACGTTAGGAATAACGCCCAAAATACGTGCAGCTTTTGCATTTACCTTTAGAGACTTGGGAAGGTGGCCACGAATGATGTCTGCGTCTTTTGGAATTGGGGGTGATGGCGGTGGTGGTGTGCGTCCGCGGTCTGGTCGCTCGAGAGGTGGGAGCACATGGGTTCGGTGGGATTGTCCAGATTGTGGGCGACTAATCTGTTGATTGGTTAGGTAATGTACATATGGGAGTGTTGAAGGGGGGGACTTACGACTAGAGGTCCAGGTTTTCCAGTGAACTTTTGCACACCACTTTTGTAAGTAGCTGATGCCGAGCGTCTGAGACCGTAGAAGTTGATGTCTTTATTCAAGGTTTTCTCAATTGGCGCTGTGATAGAAGACAAGCGTCTATGTCTTGTTGTGTTGGTGGCTGTCTCTTCAGGTACTTGTGTTTTGTTAGCCTCGGGGTGTTCTTCTGGGATTGGTTGAGTGGCTTGAACAGGCTGGGCAGCTTGGACAGGTTGTGAGATCTGGGGGACAGGTGTCGGAGAGCGGATACTTGGGCTTCGGAAGGACATTGACATTTTCCTATGGCCTGGGGTACTGGCATCATCAATGAAGGACAAGGCGATGGGGCTTAGCATGGACAGTCTTCGGGAAAGAGAAAGGGAACGCTTTGGAGTCTGTGGGCTCTGTGCAACACTAATAGTATGTGTCGTATCATGCTGCTGTACTTGCTGCTTTTGCTGCTGTAGTCCTCGAGTGTTCGATTGTTGGGCAGGTGAGGTGAAGATATCGTCATCAAGGTAGGCTGAACTATGTGACTGTTGGGAGTGGGTTGA